TATTGCTGGTTGCTACAGAGCATAAAATTACCAGGAAGAGTGATTTCTTTGGATTTCTTCCCTGGCCTCATCCTCTTTTAACAATTGTACTTTAGGTAACAGCACCCTGATAAGAGAAGAGACACTGGTCATAAAGTTTTGTGATGTGATGTTTATATAAACAGAGACTATCACCCTGACTTACGGTTTGCTTTCAAGTATTCTACACTTCTGTTCTTTTATACTGTATTAGGAAAAAATATGTGAATGTGTGTTAGTTTATTTTATCAATCAGACAAGGGACTGCAAACTGTTCAGGGTACATTTTCTCCTCAGTGTAAGGACAGTATCAACAAATAGTGTCGATTTAAAGAGATTATGACAGATTAAGTTTCTTGAGAGAAATTAGTTTGACCAATAGTACCAAGAACACAAACCAAATACTTGGGAAACCACTTTCTAGCAAACCAGCAATCAAACAATCCACAACTTGGCAGTTCCAAGGTGTTCAGAAGTTGTTACGGTATAAACTGCCTTAAGTGTAAGTGAATGATCATATTTTCTTGTTTATATACTCTTAATTCAAAACTTTCTCCTATCTATATTTACCCTACAGCAAGTCAAATTAAAAACGGGACCGCACCACTGTAATGCTCAATTTTGCTATGGTTTCTTATGTGACAGGAAGTTTTAGGAAAGACTATGCATTCCTTTACCTCGTATTTAAAAAAAAAAAAAAAGGCTAATGTAAAAGTCTTTTTACCTGATATTTGATCCTTTTTAGGTTACAATTTTAGTAACTGCGATAAAATTATTGAGGCCCGAACACCATCCAAGTCGCGTTAAACAACCTCCTAATAACACTGCCACGTTTTCAAACTTTACAATCATTCTGGTTTGTAAGAAGTACCTTTGTTTTTACAATAGAGGTTTACAAAAGTCACGGCTCTTCTCTCATTTCCAGGTTACTGAGTGTACACTTAAAGCTCAACATTTAATAATAATTTCCAGTATATTTTCTAAAAGTTACGGAAAAATTCTTAAATCATATGTAGGAGCCAATATTTGCTTCAAAAAACAGAATTTTGAGAATATTAACTGGTTCCTCATGTTTACAATTCCACTACTTACAAAATTACGCTGGCCTAGTTTCCTCTCTGGACTTCTACCTTTGTTCCTTCCCTTCTCCCCCAGTCAGTAACCCAGCACCTCCTTCCCCAACTCTTAGGTTCTTATGTCACCTCACAACCAACACCTCTGGCTCCCTCCCACTCCTGCACCCCACACTTATCCAAACTGCTAACACTGATGCACTACAGCTCTAACGCACAGGGCAGCACACACACACACACTGATTAGCTGCTGAAAGCAACACGCAGCTAAGCGTTGCTCTCACACTGACAGGTACTTCTTCAGAGACTTTAACTAGAATTTCTGCTCTAATGAAAATGGACAAGCTAAATATGTTTAAAACCTCTGCTTCCTTTACTGAATTAAGCTGGAAGTTGGACAATCGGTTCAAGAGTTACAGTGTAAGCCTTAAAAATGAGATAGAAAATTGGCTTCAAATTGCAAGGAAGTGTAAAACAGGTCAACATGTCCCATGACGTGAATGAGTTGGGAACTACATGGCTACTTTCAAATATGACAAAAACCTCCAGTAACTATTAAAAACCAAAACACAAGACATCAATAGTTGTTACTAGCTTCTTAAGCTGATTTGCTCAGCAGTGTCACCCTCTGCAATACCAAATGCATAACAAAGTACTGCTACGTAATACCCAGGTTTACAAAGAGAAGAGTGCTCTGAACCCCTAAAAATTAAACAAGTATAAACTGAGGATTACATAAACAATTATACAAGCAAAATAATCACATACCGCTTACTAAAACACTGTGTTATTTACCTACTGCACAGAACATCTAAAAACTTAAATTCATTTCAAGAGAACAACCTGGTAATAAAGGAAAGCACATGCAAGTGCCTGGAGGATCAGCCCCTCTGACTGACAGGTCCTTAGAGTGGGGTTGTCCCCAAAGACATTTGCATAGTACCAGAAATAATTCAGGTTCTAAACCACAGACTTTCCATAATAATACATGTTATGTCAGACTTCATTTGGCTACTCCTTGAGGCTACTGCTGCAATAACTCAAAACCCCACAAATGGACTCTCTTGTAGTAAAGGAATTTTCTCTTTCCATACTTTTTATCCATTGGTCTCAAAAGTTATGTGTTGCAACACAGTGGTAGCAACTATACTCTGGTGCTGAGACTTACTTGCAAACCATGCTGATGTGTGGTGAGAAACCTGTGTACTGTAGTCATAGCTAAGATGTGCAATTAACATCAAATTGCACGTGGAATTTTTACACTTGAATTTTCTAGTTTGTCTATTTAACTACAATCTGAAAAGCCAAACCCCTTTAATCAAATTTCCTGTAGAGAGTACAGGGTGGTGAGAAGCACATGCCATTTCTGGGTCTTCAAAACCACAGCTAGCAGTAAAATGAAAGGTACACGCAGGTTTTAAATAAAGGAAAGCAGGTAGAAAACAGAAGCATCACTAAGTATAAAAAAACCCAGTTAATTTTTTAGTAATGGACAGTAAAACGAGGTTAAGTTCTGCAATCCTTCACCATACAGTCTGTAATATGACAAGAGCTTTACACTTTCATCTAAATTATCTGGTCATTGTGAGACACAAGACTACTGGAACAGAGGCACTGCTGCTCACAGAGCAACTCATTCATAGACTTAAAATTCACTCCAAATAATACATCCTCTGTGGACAGGTGAGAAAAGAAGGTCTTAGTACTTCTCAGAATCAAGTTTTCTTGGAATAAAAATTGGACAGATTCTGGAGAATAGGGAAGTAATCATATCCTTGCAGCCTTCGCCCACTCCCAAGATTAAACTCCAAATGCAGTAGATGTTCTTAAATTAATACAGTATGACTTGAAGATGTAGCAGTCACCTTGACCTAAAACCCATGCAGGTCATTCAGATCCCAGTGCAGGCTCCAGACGTGAGCTGCCCTGCTGCAGCGCTTTTACATGCCCACATTGCATCACCCAGCTCTCCCCGCACCTCCAGCTACAAACACCTTCTGGCTCCACATACCCATGTAAACCCGCATATACCAGGCCTCAGCAAACAGGAACCAAAGAGACTTTTGCAATGGAGAAAGTTCCAGCTCCCAAGAGCAGCACCACTAGACTGGGGGAAATAAACCTGCGACGCATCCTTCTGTCAGAAGCAGGTGCAGGTAAAGGGGGTGTCAACACTAAGAGAATCACAGAATCATCTGGGTTGGAAAAGACCCTGAAGATCATCCAGTCAAACCATTAACCCAGCACTGACAGTTCCCAACTCCACCAGATCCCTCAGCGCTGGGTCAGCCCGACTGTTCAACCCCTCCAGGGATGGGGACCCCCCCCTGCCCTGGGCAGCCCAGCCCAACGCCTGACAACCCGTCCTGGAAAGAAATGCTTCCTAATATCCAGTCTAAACCTTCCCTGGTGCAGCCTGAGGCCATTCCCTCTTGTCCTATCGCTTGTTCCTTGGTTAAAGAGACTCGTCCCCCCTCTCTGCACCCTCCTGTCAGGGAGCTGCAGAGGGCGATGAGGTCTCCCCTCAGCCTCCTCTTCTCCAGACTAAACCCCCCAGTTCCCCCAGCCGCTCCCCAGCAGACCTGTGCTCCAGACCCTGCACCAGCTCCGTTGCCCTTCTCTGGACACGCTCGAGTCATTCAATGGCCTTTTTGGGGTGAGGGGCCCAAAACTGAACCCACTAACTGAGGTGCGGCCTCACCAGTGCCGAGCACTGGGGTGACATCCCTTCCCTGTCCCCGCCGTGCCAACGTGGCCGGCTGAGCGAGCCGAGGAAAGGCTTTCACCCGGTGCCGCCTCAGTCCTCCCGTGGCGACACAAGGTTGGAGTTTCTCTCCGGAGATGAGGAAACACCCTGCTCGGCAAAGCCTGCCCCTCGGCTGCGGCCCCGCGCCGCCCAGATGGCGCGGCGGCCCGAGCTGCTGTGCGG